CAGCTGATGTATGTGAATACATATTTTTGTTTATTAAACTTGCAATTTCATATGAGTTTGTGATTAAATCAGTTTTTGTCAAATCAAATTTATTTTTTAAATCATTTTACTATAAATATATTTCTTTCAATTCAATAAAATAGTCAATATTTATATTTTTTAGAATATTTAGTTTAAATACGATGTTCTAGTTAATTTGGTTTAATAGATTCGTTGCTCAATTTTTTATGATATATAAATCAAAAAGGGTCATGTACATCATCATCAACAGTTATGAATCCGTATTTTATTAAGTATTTTTGATCCTTTCTCAAAGATTTGGGTTTTAAGAAAAAATGATTAGACATTAGAGATAAGATTTGCAAATAATTTTAATATTGAAAAATATTATAAATAATTCAAGTCTTTTGATATTTAAAAATTTATATTTTTTGTTGTATGTATAAACCTGAGAAGAATCCTTTCATTTTTTATTTAAACTAAGTTTTGATTAAATATATTACTTTATTTAAAATATCAATTTTCATATAAAAAGTTTTTTTAATAAAGTCAATTAAATAATTAAATCATTTTATGTAGGATTAAGTTTAAGGTTTTTGAAACATTAAAGACTTTTTAAAAATATATTTATAATCAGTTTCAAAATATTTTAATAAAAAATTAGATTATAAACGTAAGATTGTTATTTAGACATTAAAAGAGATATTTTTAGTTTTTAAGAATTTTTTTGAAACAAAAATTTCGTATTTGAAATATAAAATAAGTATGTGAAACAATCATTATAACTATGATCATTGTAAAAACAAAAATTTAATTTTGAAACAGAACTTGTATCAAACAGGAATTTAAAAAATAATGTTTTTTTAATATGATACGATAAAAATAAAAGGTTTAAAAAAATATTTTAAAAAATTATGTTCTGTTTAATTTATATTAAGATAGTTATTTTACTAAAAACAATATGTAACAATCACAATTGTATTACCATAAGTATTGGTTTGAACTTTTACTGATATAAGAATAAAATTTTAAAAAACAATTTTTGTTGTTAAGTTTTTTATTTAAAAATTGTTTTAAATCCTAATCTGAAACAATGTTTTAATCATAAAAAACTATTCAGATATATTAGTTAAAGATAATTTGATCAAAATTTTTAAAAATTAGTAGAAAACCGATTTTGTTAGAATTTAACTGTTGTAATAAGATTTCTGTTTTTAAAAATTTCTATACCCTTTAACTTTGTTTCATGCCAAAAATGAGAACCTTTAAACTGATGAATTTGTTTTTATTCATTTGTAATTTCTTTGTTTGTTATTTCATTAATTCTCTGATACTGTATATTGTTTAATTCAACATTTATTGTAAAATTATAAATAATTACAATTGAACAAATCATTTTAGAAGTAAATACAATTATACCATTTTTTAATTTAAAACGAAATCTTTAAATTTTTCTTTTGAAAATACTATTTATCTTCTCAACAAACACAATCGGTGGTATTAGTAAATCATTATATTTTAACTAATAATCATTAAGTATACCTTTAAATGTTTTTTAATATAATCAAAATTTAGATATGTCGCATCGCCTTATATATATCATAGTTTAAATTAGTATCAATATAAATATTATCAGACTATTCTTTTAATTTTGACAAATTAAACATAG